CGATTGCCAAGAGCAAGGAAAAGAACGTTTTCGGAAAACTCCCTGTGATGTTTTGAGGATGACAAAACATTCCAGCTGGACTAACATGTGCATCCGAGCGTGCGAATGAAATAATCTATCAAAAGCAGACGATGTTAACAACAGGACATCTGTGTCATCGAAGAACCTCTACGCTCTACAGAAGGAGAACAGCCTAATGGACGTGGAATCTGTTGATGTCCGGACAGACCTTGCAAATGATGAATATCTGGAACGACCTGATGAAAAACAAACTAGAGGGGTCTGGCATGTTCCACATGGGGGACTTCACTGAAGATAGATTATTGAGCGGGCTTGGCCATACTAAGTCAGATTATCTGAAGGGGTGAACTCATCTTACATTATTTTTTTACAGAACCGAAAATGTAGGAGTAAAACTAGGTAAAATCACCAAAGTACGAGAGGCTTGGACAATTATACAATAATTTAAGATTGAGACTGGAGTGTACATGCAATAATTTAAGACCCGTGGAGGATGGAAGTTTCCGGGAAGTTTCTCGCAAGGTCAACTTGATGGCTACTTGGGACAATATAATTCCAATCTACCACTCAACTACATTTTGAGGTTAAGAATATTCCGAGGAAGCGTTATGTCCGCTTTTGGGTTTTTTGTTTTATTTACTATGGATCGCCGTCGAGTCAATTAGAAAATTCTAATCGATCCAATCTTCGCTATATTTTACAAAAAAAAATCACGATAATTCAACAGCAACACGGAAGAATGACAATTTTTTTCTCCATTTTTGGTTTCCCCCAACTAGCCATCTATATGGTTGGTCAAACATGGCATCACGACATGCAAACTTAACTTAAAAAAATGTGAGTGATGTCTGTTTATAATCGACCAATCAAAATGCTGGTTGGAGAACTAAAGAAGGAGGAAAATGTGGCTCAAAAGAGTTGGAAAACACCATTAAGCGATGGGGATTATGAACCTCGTGTGACCTGTAAGATGAAGAGGAAAACGCCAATGGAATAGAAAGATAAAGAAGTAAGATTGATAATGCACTTACACCGAAACCTTATATATAAAAAGGAACATGAATAAATTGAACCTATCTCAAATATCATGATAAAGAAATGACAAAAAGAAAAAGTTAAACTAGCATTTATTTAAGGTGTTTGTCAGGTATATATATATATAGCATTTGCAGTTTTTGAGATCCAGAACTTCATTATTAACTTGTCTTCAAGTTGTCATTTTTAAATTCAACCGGCACTCACATATCGAAGTTCAATTAAGCTGGAATATGACAGTATTTTGTGGGCTTTAGGACAGCTAGCTTAAGTGAAGTTGACCCGTGAAACTGTTGAGACTATGCCTCAAGTTTGAGATCATGAGAAACCCAATCCAAGTTGGTTTTTTATTTGGAGTTGAGTTTCAAGATCGAGTGGATTTCCTATTTTGGATTCAATTCTTGTTTATATATAAGAAATAGGTCTTCTCCGTGAATTGTATCCAAGAGGTAGGTTTTTCGTGAATTACACTCTAAAGCAATCAAAGAGGAGCTTTTGCCGGTGATAATCATTTGTGCCGCGTGCTCATGACTATAATCCAAATTTTGAAGCCAATCAATTATGCAAAGATTTTGTATAATTCCTTTGTGAAATTGAAAAAATGTTTCACGAGTAATTATGAGGGATAAATAATGTGTGAGTTGTTAGATGTAATTACGGACTGGGAAACACTAAGAATGTTTCAGCAACTCGAGTGTGGTTGTAATCTCTATTGTATCATATAACCGATAGTACAATCATATGATGCTCTCCTTATGGAGTAGGTCCCACCGACCGAAGTACGTAAATTTAAGGCTCGCATAATAACCATTATGTTTCTCTATTTTTATGTTTTTCTGTTTTGGGGAACATGTTTGAACAAAAATCCGTTTGGTAACGCAATTTTATTTTTCTATTTCTGAAACAAATTTTGATTTCAGAAATAGGTTTGGAATAGAAATGAAAAGTAAAAATTTTCTACTTTTCTATTTCGAGACAGAAATGAGAAATAAAAACTTATTTTGTCGCTTGCGCTCGCTACTAGCCGATCGCCTGCCCGCTGCTCGTCATTGCTGCCCACCGCTCGCCATTGCTGCCCATCGCTCGCCACCACCTCCCACCTCCCACTGCCGGCTACCTTCCGCCACCATCCTCCGCCATCCAGCTACCTCTTGTCGTTCACCGCTGCCCGATGTCTACCTCCCGCCGCTGTCCTCCACCACCTGACGCCGACCGCCTGGGAGGGAGGAATTTTGTGTTATTATTAAACGCGTATTTTTGTTCAGAAACTCGTTTAGGGAAAAGAATTAGAAAAATCTATTTCTGGTCAAAAATTGATTTCTAGAACAGAATGCTTATCATCCACGCCTTAGTTTCCCATTTGTTTCCTTATTTTGTTTATTTTATTACTCGATTGCTTGTTTTTTGCAACAATTGGTATCAGAGCCACGCTTGGATGACTTGAAGCAAATCAATAATGACAGAAGAAGGAAAAGTGTAAATAGACATATATGATAAAATGGATTTTGTTTTTTGGAAGATGCATATTGAATATTATCATACTAGAGGATTTTGCACTTACTGCTATCTAGGAAGAAACCAGAATCAGTGAACAATATTTATTGGGATTCGCTAGATAGACAAGCGTTGAGTGTTATTCGGTTGATGTTGGCTCATAACATCACGTTCAACGTCATAAAAGAGAAGACCACTGCGGGACTAATAAATGCCTTGCCAAATATGTGCAAGAAGCCCTTTGTGATCAAGAGGTCTACTTAATGCAACGCCTATTTTACTTAAAGATGGGTGAAGAAGCATATGTTGCTGATCATGTCACTGAATTCAATGTTGTTTTTAGTCAATTGAGTTTAGTTAAAATTGATTTGATGATGACGTAAGTACTTTGATTATATTATCCTCATTCCCTGACGGTAGAAGTACTACTATTGCTGCTGTTAGTAATTCCTTTGGTCAACAAGCTTGACGTTTTATGAGGTTGGCAATTTGATCTTGAGTAAAGACATTCGTAGGAAAGAATCTAATCAACCCGTGCCTACTGGTTTAGTAGGTGAATGTAGATAAAGAATTAGTACCACCGTTAGCAAAAGTAATGTGAACTCGAATAGACGTAGTTAGTCTAAGATTTGTGGTGTTGTCTAGTTAGAGTTATGGCAAGAAGGGGCATTCAAAGGAATTTTCTTAAGTCAAAAAACAAAAAGGGTAAGGAAATTAGAGTTAAGTTTACTGATCATATTGCTTCATTTGTTGATCATGTGTCGGATGGTGATGATTATATCTTGTCTGACACTGATGATTCGTCGTTTGACGAAAAGGTTATGCATTATGGTTGTTTGTTTCACACTACACCAAAGAGGAACTGGTTTACTACTTATTAGTGCGCTAATAGTAGTAAAGTACAGTTGGGGGAAAATGCTGAGTGTAATGTTGTAAGTGTTGGCAATGTTAAAATCAAAATGCATGACGATATTGTGAGGACATTAACTAGAGTGAGACATGTTTTACAATTGAAGAAGAACTTGATTATCATGAGCACCTTGAATTCAGCCGGGTGTCAGTATATTTCAGAAGATGGATTTATACAGGTTGTTCTAGGTGTCTTAGTGATAATGAGAAGAATCAAACACATGACTTATATGAGCTTCAAAGGGAGACAGTGACAGATTTCACTATATAGACATTGGATGCTTCTTTTCAATAGTCTGAATTGTGCCATATGCATTTATAGTACTTGGGCTAGAGAAATTTGAAGGTTTTGAGTTAAAGGAATTTGCTATGTGGTTATGTGGTTGAGAAGCTGAATGTATGTAGGTGCTAGACTTTGGAAAACGGCCGAAAGTGCAATTCAATACGATTATTAGAGATATCGGAGAGATATCGAAATTGATTCATTTGGATGTTGGTAAACCTCAACAATAGATAAGTAAAATCTAGGTGAGATGGCTTTATAGGCATCTAGATTTGTGCTTCGTGGCGAGCCTCCGGGCCTTCAATTGCTGACAAGTTCACGGAAATCAAGACGACTATGGCCACAAGCTCAGACGCTGATGTCGAACTCGTGGTCGATTGCGGAGCTTGATGCCTCATCGAGCTTCCCCAAGCCATCTAGAGGCCGACACCTCTAGATCTTCAGGCTTGACCTCCATATCCATTTTGGTGTTAGCCCTTTAGATTTGGAGGTAGCAGCTCCTCCATGACCCCGAGACTCGACGAGATCGTGACGGCCATGGAGGAGCCGTTGAGAATGGCTGTTGAAGCAAGAGGAAAAAGAGATAAGATAAACAGATAAGACGTAGGGGATGTCGGGGAGAATATAAAGCAGAGACGACGATGGTTGGCAGGTTGGCTTGACAAGGGTGATGTCGGGCTCGAACACGCCGGCAGCGAGTTCGCCGGTGGCAATATCAACGATTGTTATTCATGGATTTAGCTAACTGTAGGCTTTGCAAATTTAAAGGGCGACGATTGTATGTGATTCATGGATTTAAGTCTAGACAAGAATTTCTCTAAAGAATGAGACGACAAAAGGAGATAGATCCATATCTTTCCCAAAAGAAAAATAGTGCATGAACAATTGGTTTAACGAAAATTTCACACAAGCGATTTTATCCACTATTGATTTGAGGGTCATAATTACCCACATTATTAAATCGTGATGTATACGGTGGCTTCTTGAAACCTTTTATAATACGGAAGGTGTATGCTTTAGTATTTCCAACTTTTTGTACGATGTAATGCCCGGAGAATAATCAACCTAAAAATTAAAAAAAGAAGAAGAGTGTACCAGCCTACCAGGTGACCTGCTTCTATTAAAGAATTTTGAGGACATTTTCCTTTTTGCACGGGACCCCCTTACGAAGTTGCCATGCAATTTCCTCGTCGACCAAAAATCAATTTTTTTTATGCGAAACCCACTCTTTATCTTCCCCTCTCTCTGCAACTTCACAGCAACTCCATACCTTGCCTGCTTTGTGCCAAACCTTTTCCACACTCACCATCATCCCAAAGCAACCTCTCTCTCTCTCTCTCTCTCTCTCTCTCTCTCAACTGCACGACTCTTCTTTCTTCAAGGATAAAGAAAAGTCTCCCGGTGGTCCAGTTCGGTCATGGCTAACGACGGATCGGCACCGTCGCCAAAACCCTTCAAGTGGCTCAACAAGGGCCTCAGGCTAACCTTCCCACGACGGAGTTCTCACTCCAAGTCATCGTCCTCCAACTTGAGCACTCCTTCTTCTCCAACCTCCACTCTCCCCGCTCCAAACCTCAAACGTGCCACCTCCACCAACAGAGACCACGAGCTCCAAGAAGTCTTCCGCCGCTTTGACACCGACGGGGATGGAAAAATCTCCGCCCTCGAGCTCCGGGCATACTTTGCGTCCGTCGGCGAGTACATGTCCCACGAGGAGGCCCAGACCATCATCGGCGAACTCGACACCGACGGCGACTGCTTGATCGACTTCGGCGACTTCTTGAAGCTGATGAAGATGGACGGCGACGACGACCTGAGGCGGGCCTTCGAGATGTTCGAGGACGAGAAGGGGTCCGGGAGCATCACCCCCAAAGGGTTGCAGATGATGCTCCGTCGCTTAGGGGACGCGAAGTCGTACGAGGAGTGCGAGGACATGATAAGGGTTTACGACATTGATGGGAATGGAGTACTTGATTTTCAGGAGTTCCACCAGATGATGGCTTAGCTTTGGAGGGAAGTAACATGATGAAGCGTGGTCTTGTCTTTGAAATGAAACAAAAGCAAAAAAGAAAAGGAAAGAGAGAGAAAAAGAGAGAGAAGGGAATGCATGGAAAAAAGGGTTGGACAGATCCACGTCCAAGTAAGAGTACGAGGAGTCAAATTTAGGTCGAATGCATTGCGCGAATCGGTCATGTGGGTGTTAATCTTTTAAATGGGGTCGCTTTAGTTCTTTATATTAAAGTCTTTATATATTATATATGCTTGCAAATACTATGTAGCATGGGAGTTTACAAGGTAATACCTCTACATCCATGTTTGTGTTTTTTTGCATTTGTCGCTTTCAAGAAGTTAATTTTTGGTTGAACTATCTGTACTATGAGGTCAACCGCTCAACCAATATTCCCCATATAATCATTGGTTCCTACTTATGTTCGTTCTAATATTCGCCAATAAAACCAAAAGAAATATCAGCACCGAGAGTAAATAATGTATCTCGACGCTAGCTACACATACATACAACCTGTATTTGTAATAAAAAAGTCTATATAAATTATATACTACCCGTATCAACCTGCGTATGGAAGGAGCGGTATCAGCTTCACTGTTCCTAAACTTTCCAGAGTATGTTTGTAAAAAAGATTTATGATGTTAAAAGTTTTGTTTATGCACGCCCATGATCTGCTAATTGAACCTACTATTTCATAGACTTTGATCCAATTACATTTTTCGAATAGCAAATTATGTATAATATATCTATAAAAGCTCGAGTTACAAAATGGAATAATTACATAAAGAGAAATATTTATGTAATTGTCCTTAATCAATTGTGAGATTAACGGTCTGTTGGACCTTAAAAAACAAATAACAAATAATTAAAAATTATTGTGGGGTCCATTCTTTCAAGAATTTGTGACTCACAACATGTCATTATTCTCACAGTGGCCTAAAGACCGTTATGCTAGCAAAGCTCTTACACAAATTTTCCCTAATGTGCAATGTTGTCCATAAACTTTTAATTTGTTCAATGTGGATCCCTAAAATTTTGATACATGTTCAACCTAGTCCTGGGACTATATGAAAATATTCAATGTTGAACTTGAATTAATGGAAGGACAACATCGAACATTTTCATGTAGTTCATAAATTAAATTGAACATGTACCAAAAGTTTAGGAAACACATTGAACAAATTAAAAGTTCAAGGATTACATTGCACATTAAGCTAAAGTTTAAGGACCAAATTGAACAAATTAAAGGTTAAGGTAAGACATTGCACATTAGGCCAAAGTTTAGGGATCATTTGTGTCATTTTCTCTAACAAAAGAGGTCCACATTACAACCAATTTAATAGTTTAGATGCTTAAATTGAAAAAAAAAATGAATATTTAGGTTTTTAATCCACAGGCTCTCGTTTTTGTTTAATTATGCTCTCCAACTCATATCAGATTTGAATTTTGACCGGATCGTTTAAGTAATCTTAATATGGGCAAATAGATCATACACCGCCAATGTAGATAAAATTTTACATAAATGACCGGCCAATCTTGATTTAATGATTATAATTACCCACTCTGTCAAATCAATGGTGTATACAAGGCCGTTTGTATAAAAGTTCTTTATTACATTGCCAGAGTATGCTATAATTATTCTTTTAATCTTTCGATCATCTGTTTCTATTTCATTTGGGTCACGATTGTGGTGCATAACCCTAAATTTACAAAATATTTCCGTGTCACCTTTGGAATGTTTTTATATGGATCGAGTTCCAATTGACCTCGGTCATGTGCAAGAATTATGACCCACGCTCGACCCAAACAAGAATCAAAGACCAAAATCAAGTACATGCCGAAGTTGTAGCCTAAGTACTCAATTTGACGATCGGTTAGAAATTGAATAATAGTTCAGTTTTCCTATTGACCAAAAAGTCCTAACTCCACCATTAAACGGAGAAAGGACAAAAAGATACAAAAAGAAAAAGAAAAAAAGGACGAGCGCAAAAAGATAAGACGAAAATAAATCGGAGCCATCTAACGACATATGTGACGAGTTGTCAACGCTTAAGGCGGACAAATTTAAAATGTAAATTTTCCTTTTAACTTTAAAGTTATAATAATCCGATAAACGATGGAGATCCTCTAAAGTTATAAACTACATTTATATCTTAAATTTATTTTCTTGAGAAATTAACACCTCGTCATAAAATGCCATTGGCCGGCTCCGGTCCGCCTCTCATTTTACTTCTTTTTCTTTCGCTTCTTCCCCGTTTCATTTTAGCCCTTCTCCTTTCTTTCTCTATTCTCTCCCTCGTCTCCCCTCTCACGAACAGGCCCCCCGACGAAAGTCTCTCCCCCCCTCTCTCTCTCTCTCTCTCTCCGCCATTCAGGCATTACCACGAAGCACCTCTTCCATCATCGTTTGGCACATGGCGAAACGGGATAAATCCCAAGATCTTCCTCTCTCCTGGCACACCAACTTTAGCGCTTCTTTAATAATGTCTACCATTTGGCAAAACATTTTCCGGGAACTTCTCGCCCGAGTAAGCAGGCACCAAAGAGTTCTCGAGTCACTCCATCCCCCAATCTGAAGGCAGGAGAGAGTCATTAGTCAACCACATGTCAAGTCAAGGTCAAAGTCAATCTTGGAGCTGTTTTCTCTCTCGTGCCATCTATACCCGCAAGGTCTTCTCTGGCAAAACCATGACCTTGAGATCGTGATTTCACCCACAGATGTTGGGATTTTCTCTTATGAGCTCTTACTCGGAAGCTTCTCTCCCTCTTCTTGCCAAATAGATAAAGGAAAAAATCGGACACTCGGTCCTTTCATCAGAGAAAGTGAAGACATACCACCGGAGGTATCGAACGGATGGCACGCAGTACGCTGAAAAGAAGCCGACCGAAATTGACTGCCATTATCGTGGGGGCACTTTGAGGCCATGGCCTAATCTTTGTGGGTATTCTAGATGTCTCCCACTAAACTCTCTTCTTTGTATACTTACTCGGTATGTGCGTATATCTATTAGCTTTTGTAAATGGATTACACTAACAAGCGTGCGAAGAGCTTTAGTGAAGCAACCAATTAAGAAAGGTTTATAAGCTTTCGATATTATGATTGTCCTTGTGTTTTGCACGATCAGCGCCCTTGACTAATTCCTAGTAAAGTATGCTTAACAAGTATCTCGGGGCACTCGTTAACATAACCATGTACTATTTATGTTATTAAAGTTTTGGTTAGACAAAAAAAGTGACTCTTTTGCGCACGTAAACAAGATGCACGTAGCAGCAAACATGTAATGCATGACATATAGTTCTTTACTAATACACGTCTATGGACAAAAGCGCATCTAATTCTCTCTCACATGCACTCGAACATTTGCACACGTATTGTAAATTGTACTCCTCAATAAATAAGAAGTTTAGTGTGATGTACGAAATCTCATTAATGTTGTGTATTTAATATGTCTACGTAAAGGGAAGGCATTCTGGATGGACTCCATCGCGATCCAACAATGCAGCAGTCATTTGTTCGTGAAGCTTTACATTCGTACTAGGAGTGTGTCTTAATTCAGGATGCGCTACATGAGTTTCATCGGAATTGACCATGTCAGTACTATTTACCGTTATCGTATAGTGATGATTTGCGATCGTTGATTGGTTGATGAATGCAAAAATAGAATAGTACGCGCATAATTTCGGCCGGTCTGACATACGTCCATAGAGAGATCGGTGAAGTCCATTCGAATGTATGAAATTTACCCGCAACCACTCATACATAATCCCTCGACTACACCGCGTACGCGTAAAGTTTTTCATCAAGATCGTCATTTTTGTTCAAATGTCAATAGTCTGAATCTGACCACATAGCCTATCTACCTTAAATTTTGACAAGTCCTGATACAACAAGACAAATAAGCCCAGGTAAGAAGGGCTCGTAGCCGTAATTTGCCAAATAAGAGAATTGAATTCTGGGAGTAACATACAATCACACGGCAAAGACCAAAGACCGTAGAGAATTCTAAGAGGAGGACAATATTTTCCTCCGTACTTTATTGAAAAAATCATTTTCGAGCAAGTCTCAGACTGGTGGGTTGCAGAGACTGGTGGGTCGCAAGTTATGAACATCACCCGCATACCAATTTAACTTAAATTAATTTTGGTGATGACCGTATTTAAAATCAACCAATCATATGCATGATTGAAGGGAACTTTCTCCCACCTATAATTGAGGAAAACAGGACCCTTTACAAGAAAACGTGGTAGACCATGTACAGAAAAAGGGAATGGCAATCCACTCGGGTTGGCGCAGCTGGTTAACGTGAATTTCAGCTCTATAACTCGGAAGTTGCCTACTGCATACCAAAGTGCTCTAGGTCAGAGCCATCTACGCATGCTTGGACTCAATGGTTACGAGGCTCAGTCTGAACCGTAGCCTTGAGATGATCGGATCTCTGCGCTCATGCCCTTGAATTATTAAGGAAGAAAAGTAGATGGAGACAGAATGTGAGGCGGTCAAGAGAGGAATACAAGAGCATGGAAAGATTCACTAACTCTGGATTTACTTGGGCCTCTGTTACTGTCCTTGGACTTGTTTGAAGCTCAGAGCTCCATAAGGCCTAGCCCAAAACCTTGCTTCAAAGAGTGTCTTGAAGATAGCTCGGCCATTTCATTTGGGTTTAGAGCTTTGATCCCCAAAACGATCACTCGGTACTATCACACATTTTTCAAGATTGGGTCACTCAACTTTACTTTCGATTTCTTTCCACCGGTTCTCTCCGTCTGACATTGATCAAAGTTGATACAGATTTTAAGTGGAAGTTGAAGTGAAGTTTCTCTTTGACCTTCAGTGGAAGGTCTGACATGACAGTTAAGGTGATCGTGAGGCAACTGTTTTGACAGAATTCAAGTGGGCCATTGAGCGAAGTGACTTAAATGAAAGTGAAAGTGGAAGTGAAAGTTAAAGTGAGCGTTTCGACCGGAAATGGTTTTGAGAATTCGGTGATGGAAAAGTTTATTGACCTCAAAAGTGGAGAGGATATGCATTGGCAAGAGAGATAGTTAAAGAGGGCTATATAGTTTTTTACAGGATAATTTGATTCATTATTCGCTTGTTGGTTCTTGATTTGTTTTGTATTAAAAGTTTGATTTCAAAGGAAAAAAGAAGCAAGAAGAAGCAAGAAAGTTACTCAAAGGAGTTTGAGATCGAGAAGCATCTGTACGGACTTGCCGATCGGCCTCGTCAATATTGATGTTTCTTCGTCACATAGCCACTTTTCCATAACATATCTATCTTTATGTTTTCTTATTTCTTTTTTTTTTTTTGGCGAGGCAGTTTAACATCATTCACATACAACTTTAACTAGTAACACACATAAAGAGAGTAGATTTAGATTGGGTTTCTTTTTTCTATATCACTGTTGTTAATTGAAGTTCCGTATGTAAAAGATGTTAAAGTGACTCACCCACCTAAAAAGAGACTAATCCAGAGGCAATCACTGCTAATAACTAAAAAAATGTAACAAAAAGAAAAGCAAAGATTGAAGCGGGAGAGTTAAAGTTGAAAAGAGGATTTCTCACTTCTTTCTCTCATTCAAAACCGTTTTCACACGGCTCATAACTAATAAAAGAAATAATAACTAAGGTTGATCGGTTCTCGATCTAGTCCAATCCTCGAGAGCGGACCGGATCAAAAGGACCGGTTCCCAGTTTTTGGAACCGGGGACTGGCCCGGACCGGTCCGATCTGATTCTTGGGCAGTCCAATTAAATCAGTTAATTCACAATAATTGACGAGGAGCATGCCAAAACAGGGTAAAAATAAAGAACAAAAGGAATGTGGGTAGATTTAGTCTCGTAACAAAGAAATATAACTGAAATCAAACTCGGCAATTAAAGGAATCTCTCTATCATACAACCCATATTTGTATATACTCATAATAGTGCAAAACCGGAGACACATATGTATGAATTTGGTTCAGGACTTTTGTCGAACACATAGCGTGCAGTGGGTTGAGGAGAGAATGTTAACTAGAACTCACATCCAGACTCGAAAGAAATCATTAAGGAATGTTGGCAATCAACAACATCGGTTCATTTAAACTCAATATGCGCATGAAAGGTAGGTGAGGGGGTGAACCAGCAGTGTTCAATGGCTGATTCTGAAGATGACCCTGAGAATAAACTCTCGAGAAAATCGCTTATTAGTCTCCCCTCCTTTTCCTCTGTTGTCCATCGCCAACAGAGAAAGAGGCGAACGCGCGTGAAATTTACAAAATGTTAAATAATAAATAAATAAAATATAATCGGTCCTGTCCGATTCTCTCTAGAACCGGAACTGGACCGACACTTCCGGGAACCGCCCAGGACCGACTGGTCCGGTCCAGTCCGATTCCTGGTTCAATCGGTCCGTGTTGCTCACCTCTAATAATAATTGCGTACAACAATGTGTTGTACTACTTCAAAAAGTCTCCTCGTAAAATATCCAGCATCTATGTTCATACTCAATATCCACAACTTCTTTTCGGACTCCGTAGGAAGCAACGATATTCCATGAAAGACAATTTCCATGGCACCAGTACTAAGTACACTATGGTTTGGGGCTTTAGCAGGTCTCTTGATAGAGATCAATTGTTTATTTCCGTATGCATTGACATGCCCTTTTTTTTGTTACCATTCTAGTTATTGACACGTGAAAGGATGAAGAAGATAAGAGATGAAATCGGTTACGCAATTAAGAGAAAATTAAGTAAGCATTTTGAAATAAAAACTATCTTCGTCAAACTCAGAGGAATCGCTCAAGCTCGCCCGTCCCCTACACAATAAACCATGACAATATATTGGAGAGTGAGCACCGTATAATTTAGGATTTAGGATTCAGAAATTCGTATAGATATTTTCAAATAAGAGGGTACAAGCTAGATAGATAGCTCTAGAATGATTGATTGGGCAAACATTAATCTTTCCTAGTTACCTCCGAGGTCCAACCACATGCACAAGTCCATCTATCTAAGATGCATAAGCTGCCCAAATGCGTTCTTTCCGGCTACTGATCCCATTGTTTGAGCATGCCATGCCACTCGAGTCAAGTCAGACAGAAAACCATACGAAAAGTATAACGCAGAAGAGAAGTTGCCATTGTTCTGTGCTTAAAGTCAATTTCAGGGTGCGCTAAGTGCAATCATTTTCTCCATTTAAGTAGTCATGATTCGAGAGTGATTGACGGGTAATGCTGCTCGAGACGTGGGAGTCAAAGTCAAGCAATGTACCTTGCAGGAGTAGCCACCGGGCAGGAGTGCTAGTAGGCCCTGTCCCATCGGAGGGAAATTTCTCGAACTTTTGACTCTTTGACCAGCGTTCCAAACCAATTTTCTGGTCCCTGAAATGGCTTAGATACATCGCATGTAACTTTTTCTTCGCTAGGAACTACAACAGGCAAGAACAAAAATCGAACATGAGAGCCCATCGGGTACGATTTCTAGTTCTCAGTCCATTTTCAGATTCTCTCTGTATGCGCTCGGGAGGCTTTATCGGATACGGCGAGGGCACGGATGTGAGTACGATCTCTGTCTCCATCTATAGATCAAGTCGATTTCATGTAGAGACGACTCAATTCGCCCGTTTGACTATCGCCCTTTATCTCCTTCTTCCCACTCTCTAATGGACTCCATCTCTTCATCCTTAAGTTTAGACAATAAGAGGTGTCTCTCCTTCATCTATCTGATTCTTCCCCACCTTCGTCGTCGACTCGGTGGTCAAGAGCGCATGAAGGGAGCGTGGACCTGACGAAGAGGACGAAGACGGTGATGGTGCTCGCCCCGACGTTATCGGTTGTATTTTGTCGCTACAGAGGGTAACATTGGTGGAGGAAATGATGGTGTATTGGTTGGAAGAGGAAGAGTGGATGGAGAGTGTGCTTGGGGACTGAGTTTGTGTTGTTTTTGTTTGGATGACAAAATCAAACAACAGGTGGATTGGGTCGAATTTAGGTCAGGTCATAAATGAACTGACCCATATTGATCCATTAATCCGTTTTATGACACATTTTTTCATAATGCAAATTTAACGAACCATACCTAACTTAATCCATATTGCCAAAATATTTTCGTATTTAACAAATATAGGAAAACTTGTTTCTTCTACATTTTTAAAAAAATATGTATTATTAAAACACTTCTGTGCATTACAAATTTAGTGGACAATTTTTATAATTATTTTTAAAAAATTGAATTTTTATATTTTTCTTTTTTATTTTTTCTTTTTCTTTCTTTCTTTTCCTTTTTTTTTTCTTCTACGTCCAAAGGTAAAAGAAAAGAAAAATTTATAAAAAAAAATTCAGAAATTTGTTTTAAAAGAAATAACATGTTTATGATTCACTTAAACTTATTAAGTTGTCCATTTATGACCCGATTAAAATCCATTTAAGACCCATTAAATTATTAAGTAACCCATTTGTAATCCACTAAAGCTTGTTTTTAAAACTTAAAGCAACATGATTCATATCATTTAAATATGAGTTAAAATATGAGTCCTAAACCCATTTTGTCACCTTTACAAATGGACAAGCGACGAAAGAAGATAATAGACGATTCAAGAGATGGTGAGAGGCATGCTTCTCCCTAATTGAGAAAAGAGAGAGAGAGAGAGAGAGAGAGAGAAAAAAGAGAGTAAAGACAAATTCTTATTGTGGTCCCTAGCCTACATCCGAAGAGACATTGCATATGTCAAAAGCTGGGGATGTTAAAGACTTGGTCTGAAAAGGAGTAATTCGATTAATCAAATAAGATGGTAATCATGTGACGGTGGGTGATGATTTATGAATTGCTCAACATGGTGTATTTAATTCAATATGAAATTTGAGATGTCACAAGCTTTTCTAATTAAAGAATGGACATAATCGTTAGAGTTGACTCATATCGCCTAACGATACTCCCTCTATTGAATTTGTGGTCTAATTTATTCTTTCCTTCTTTGTCATCTTAGAACTTGCTAGGAACTACAACTCGTTCAAACTCTCTTACCCCAGTGATTACTCCCCAAGTCTTGAACCATGCACCTACTAAAGGGGCTTGCTCTAATATCATTCGTAAAAATCCGGCTTGTTTCATATGAGTCATGCTTTCAAGACGAGTGCTTTGAGTAACCACACAAGATGGTGGCCACTTGAAGGTGGGTGTCAACTTATGATCACAAAACCGGATCTCTTCCATCCGACATGAAACTCGGAATATAATTAGGAAGTCGGTCCAAAATCTTTTAGTACAAAATACACCCGAATCGTTCTAACTCCAGTTCAATCCCTCTGCCTCCATTCTAAACCTCCAAAACTTTCATGTTAGGTTTGTCCATGGAAATTCCATGGGCCGAGATGATTTGAGTCTCGGTCAACAAGCTCATAGGCTATATGCTCAAAGTCGCCGCTGGAGCTACGTATATGCGCGTGAACTAGTGCCTAAGCAATAGTGACATCACGCAAATTATATTCTCCTACGACAAATTCATAGTACGACAATGATGGATCTGGTGAGTAAATCCATAAAAAAAAAAAGACACTAAATAGACTTCAAGTCAATAAAGCGAGCGAGGTAATGTTCCCATTGAGATCCTTGCCTCCTGTTGAGCTGTGTGACCTTCCGAGAAATTGCCCTGCCCCTAAGAAATTACCGTATGCATTTTGCACATTATTTAAACCCATAAACCCCTAGCAGGAGAAGTATTCGCCCCTTCTTCTCCTTCATGCACCAACCACTACTCCACTGAGAAAGGATCGAAGCCAAACCTAAGTTCATCTCAACATGGAGTCGAGCTCCCTCTCCCTCTCCTTAGTAATTGCTGTCTCTATCTTGTGTTTCTCATCTTTCGCCCACGCACAACAGCCTTACATCGGCCAGGACACCAGAGTCTGTTCCAAGACCAACGACTCTTCCTCTCCTGCCCTGGGCTACACATGCAATGGCCTGAACAAGACTTGCCAAACCTACCTCATTTACCGATCCAACCCGCCCTATGATACCGTCCCGTCGATCGCCCGGCTCCTGGCCTCTGACCCATCTCAGCTCTCTGCCATAAACTCGGTCGCTCCGAACGCGACGTTCCCGACCAACAAGATGGTGATAGTCCCTGTGAACTGCTCCTGCTCAGGTCAGTACTATCAGGTAAATGCCTCGTACACGATTAAGCGGGGAGACAATTATTACTTGATTGTCAATAGCACTTACGAAGGCCTCACAACATGCCGCGCCATCAAGGTCCAAAACGACATCGAAACTGTGGACTTATACAGCGGAGACCTCACCATTCCGATCCGATGTGCTTGTCCTACCAAGAACCAAACCAACCTCGGAATTAAGTATCTATTAAGCTATGTCGTTGCCGAGGGCAACTACGTTTCGACAATTAGCTCACGGTTCGGTGCTAATGTTGCGAGGACATTGGAAGCAAACGGTCTTTCCGAGCAATTCTCCACGATCTATCCCTTCACCACTCTGCTAGTTCCCGTTCGAAACCCGCCTTTGAGTAATCAAACAATAGTATCTCCCCCATCACCACGCCAACTTACGCCACCTCCGCCACAATCACCGAGCCCACCTGCTTCGTCATCAACTAGTGTTTTGAGGAACAAATGGGCATACGCAATTGCTGGTTCTCTCGTCGGAGCTGCGTGTGCTTTGGCAATCGGCAGTGGCATTATTTTCTGTATGCCTTTTCGCCGCAGAAATGTGCAACATACTGCAAGTATTGTCCCCAACGACCGTGAGACGCACGTGAAACCGATCGTGGAAGTAGATGAAGAGTCTCAAGGACTGATGCAGACCATATATGGCATTGCTCAGTCCATCAAAGTGTACAGTTTCGAAGAACTGCTACTGGCTACCAATAACTTTAGCCCTAGCTATTGGATCAAAGGGTCGGTCCACCGGGGGGAGATCGACGGTTGCTCCGTCGCTATCAAGAAAGTGAACGGCGACGCGATCAAGGAAATCAACCTTTTCAAGAAGATCAATCACTTCAACATTGTTCGCCTTTCAGGGATTTGCTTCAACGAAGGGGACTGGTACTTCGTCTACGACTTCGCTTCTCATGGACCCTTAAGTGACTGGATTTACAGCACACTTGGTGATAGCAAAACTGTCCTGAGCTGGACTCAAAGAGTTCAAATTGCACTCGATGTGGCCACTGGCCTGAATTACCTCCACGGCTTCACAAACCCACCTCACATTCACAAGAACATCACGAGCGGCAACGTCCTTCTTGACAGCGATTTCCGGGCCAAGATAACGAATCTGGGCATGGCGAGGTCAGCCGAAGGCGAGGCGGGCCGATTCGCCTTGACGAGCCACATCGTCGGGACGAGAGGTTACATGGCCCCAGAGTACTTGGAGAACGGTCTGGTCTCCATGGCGCTCGACGTGTACGCCTTTGGGGTCCTCGCAATGGAGATGATCACGGGGAAAGAGGCGGAGTCCTTGACCCGAGAGGAGAGCTCGAATCTGTTCGACGCCCTGGACGAGATGCTGCCGGAGGACAGCATGACCGAAAGGTTGGCAGACTTGATCGATCCTTCCTTGGGCGGACGTTATCCTTCGGACCAGGCGGCTTTCATGTTCGGGATCATCCGGTGTTGCCTGAAGAAGAACACGGCTGATCGTCCCGACATGGACGAGATCGTACAGTATCTGTCCGGACTGTTGGCATCCGCGATCAACTGGGAATCTTCTAACAACGTGATTTGATAGAAAGCAAAAAGTTTCATGTATCCATGCATGGTCATTCCACTTTCTTAATTTTGTCTGAATGGTGATTATCTCTATTATGCAAGTTAAAACATAATTCTGTTTCGTTTTTAAATTTCCTGAATTACCTTTCTTTTATTTCTGTTATATCCACTCTTTTCATAAATAACCATCTGTTTTTTTTTCCTCGCTCTTCTTGATTTTAGACTACCTAGTTTATGGTTTTCTCACTTTCATCTTCCTCATCTTACCCTTGCAACATAAATAAACAGATAAATAGGCAATGAGATGCAAAGGGCAAAACATGTAATTGCGTGGATTAATTCATTCCATGCTTAGTTCCCTTGACCTTCCCTTGAACTTCAACCAACACGAGGAAACTTCTTGTTGAGATGAACGTGCGAGTTAGGTTAGAAAAGTCTCGTACCGAAAAATTGATGTGATATGAAATAGTTAATATATCAAAATTAGTAAATGGCGATCCAACTATACATGTTGACGGACTCAGATTTGAGCTCCCTCTCTATTATCAGGCTGCTGTTACACGCGCTCCCAACACTCCCTTGAGCACGACAAATTTGAAGGGAGAGGATTCAATGATAAAAATAAAACACAAACAAACAGATTTCCTTTTTGAAAAAGGAAAAAGAAAAATTGAAGGGTTTCTTGAAAGCATTTTGCACAAAAGAATGATCCTTCCCTTCGCTACTACCTCCTTCGTCCATCATTTATATTTTGAATCGTCGAAAAAAAAATTTCTTAAGAAATTTTTTATGGTAGAAAATATAACATTTTTTTATAATCCATAGTTTTAAAAGAATTTGATATATGGGTATTGCGGGAATTATATGACAGAAAATTTGACCTTTGACATACAGATAGAAACTGAGAAATAACATTTTGGGTATTCGGATATAATTTTTAATTAGGAGTATTCCTCGTTCGATTCTAGTGAGGCAAATACGGACACGATCCTAAAATAGTTAATCCTCATCCGTTTTATTTATGTCTAATTACATTACTAAACACGACATCAAGGATTGTTGCAAATTCTAGGAGAGTAAAGACATGATTTATCCCCCACACACGGGATATATAGCACAATTAACGCCTAACCAAATAGATATATCAAACTGATCCGAGAGGTATCCCAGGTCCTAGCCCGTCTATGCATTTATAAAAACCTAGATTGACTCAATTTTTATGCTAAACAAAGCTTAAGCATTTGAGGTATGAGTCGCATTAAATAATTAACTAGCACATACCGCGTATATTGTCCTACACGACACTCTATTTTCACTAATAGAAGGAAGGTGAAGAATTAGAGCCTCGCTTGCTTCACACATTGCAAGCCTTTTGCAGAGATTCTCCTTCAACAAGGCAATTAAATAATCACATAAAAATCGTAAATGAAAAGTTGATGGTGGCAAGAGTCCTATTTAGACAAGGTTCATCGAGGTTAGTCATAGTCCACCCCTTCTTCGTTTTTAATGTCGGGATTGAGAATGCGTTTCAGAGCTTCCAAGCTCCAAGGTCATAAACTTCCCCCATATTACGCCTAGTAGCTTTGAATTTTATGTCCAACTCAACAACTATTTTAACCCTTCTAATTAAAAAAAGATGATGATTAATATTAAATGCCCACAAGTTTAGTAGGGACATGCTTTTTTCCAGCCTAGTGTTTTACTAGATTAGCTTTAGTATTCCTGATGACAGGTGCACGTCCATCTTGGTGCGAAAGTCACCGGCAAGATAATTTCACTTTTTGACTTTAAAACTCCATACTTTAGCCAGCTTGTGCTCTTCCACGAAGATCGTGCGACATTTCCTTGATCGTTTATTCCATTCTAGTAAAATCTAAAGTGGCCCATTAGAATCTTGATCTCTCATAGAAACTTCAAGTTCGCATCTTTCTCGAGGTAGGACAAAACCCTAGATGGCAATCCTCTCTTTCTTCTCTATGGAGATAATTGTTCAAGAAGTCCTAAATTTATTGTACGACAGCCAATTTAGTCTTAAACTTTTTAATTGTGCCAAATTTAGTCCTAAACATTTTGACAGATTGTCAATTTAGTCCTAAACCTTTTAAAGATCTACCAATTTAGTCATAAACATATTATTTAGATATTTAGCCGGAAGGACTATATTGGCAAATCGTCAAAAGGTTTAGAATTAAAATTGGCAAATCATTAAAAGCTTTAGAACTAAGACACAATTGAAAGATTTGGGATTAAATTAACACAATTGAAAGGTTTATATGGTACAATTGAAACTTTATAATACTGAAGTTTGATATAGAATGAAAGAAGATGAAAAGGATTTATTGACTTTTTAGATAATTTTGCCTATCGATCCCAGAGACTTGATTAAGTGTGTGCTTTTGTTAGTTTGATATAGAATGAAAGAAGAAAAAAAAAAAAAAAGATGAAAAGGAAGACCAATGGCAAGATTAATGGATTTCGTTTTCCAAGGGGCTGGACGCGGGATGCTTCTTTCTGGTTCTTTTTGCCACGCACTCGAACGAATGAAGTTTAGTCTATTCATAGCCATTATTGACCCACTTAGTTAAAAGAATCTCATGCCAAAAGCTCGTGTGGACACCTCCTTTCTCACGAACTTTGATTGACGCCCATTTATTTACAGCTACTCCTTTTACCTATCACGCACATACAAGAGGCACTTGAATCTGGGGGGCCAATCTAGAAAGCCCAAGAAATGGGTCTTTGCTTAAGGTTCCGTTCGTTTCCCAGAAAATAACTCTCAGAAAAACTTTTTTTAGATTTTCTAGCGATCGATTCACAGAAAATAAACTGGTTAAGAAAAGCATTTTCCACCAATGGAAAAAGCACCTTCAAAAACGAGAAAAATATTTTCCCCTTTTCAAAAAGCGAAAAACATTTTTCATATCTTCTTTCACCTTGCTTTCTTTCACCAAACATATTTTTTTTTCTTTTTTCTTTTTCTTTCTCTTTTTTCCTTTTCTTTCTTTTTCTTTTTGCTGCCATAGGCAAGCTCAAGCTTTGCTAGCTTGTGGCGAGGCTTCGGCGAGCTCAAGCCCTGCCGGAACTAGCGAGGCTCAAGCTTACCTGTGGCCGGTCGCCAATCGTCACCGTGGCCAGTGACTAGCCAAGGAAAAAGCAAAAAGGAAAGAAAGAAAATTAAAAAATTAGAATTTTGGGTAATTTCCCCTAGAAAATTAAATCATATATTAAACGGGTAGAAAATATTTTCTAGTTCATTTCAGGTTTTAGCCAAACACCATAAATATTGCAATTTTCTTGGAAAATATTTTCCAAAAACGTCACATTTTTCACGAAACGAGCGGAGCGTAGAAGCTTTGTTGCTCTTCCGATGACCCCTACAGCATCTTGTTCATGGACACGCTCAAGATTTTCAGGTCTGTGAAGAAGATTCAATATTGAAGTGACTTATAGAAACTTAAAGTACTTGCGTTGTATTTAAGTTACAAAACGCAAAACACACCCACATCTAAGGCCAAAAACACAAAGGAACCGAACCGAACCAAACCGCGTATTCACACTTGCTTTGAGATGCCCTGTTGCTGTTAAACTCAAGCGAGAAGAAGGAATGACGGAGGACATATCCGTCGTCATTTGACGGGGTGTAGTGGAAAGGACAGGACTAAATCAATAAAGAAGAAGATCCCCTGGATTTTCTGTTGAAAAGATCCTAGGACAATGGAGAAACATATGAAGCTTCCCAGGTACAATAATTTAATCCTTTGTCATGCCCAAGACCAATTCAAGAATCAAATGTTTTTGGCCAACAGATGTCACAAATGGAGAAACATATGAACCTTCCCAGGTATAATGTTCATATTGTAGTTTTCTAACCATAAAATCTTTCTTAAATCAACAACCCCCGCGAAAGAGAACATAGTTTCAGAAGGCAAAACTATCTTCATCAAATTCTTGTCAACCATGTGAATCTTCCCAACTGTCCTCCTGGCATGTTCCTCGAAAATGCCTTCGATCGTGAAATTCAACCCAGAACTTTGCCGGCAATAGTGTCCCTGAATTTGAGTCTCCTTCGATGCTGTTCAAATATGACCAACGACAGCCAATTCAATCTCCGAAAAACATGTAACTCGAGAAGCGCTTCCCGACTTGACCATCAAGAGCTTCTCTTCTTTGTTCTCTACAGTTTCAATACTCTGCACGATGTGCTCTTGTTTCGTTCTAGGGCAACAACCTTATCTTGGTGATTTTTCAGTGGCATGTAACGATGGCAACAATTCTTCTTCAGCCTTTGGTTACATTTGCAATGGCCTCACCTCAAGTTGCCAAGCTTACCTCATCTTCAGGTCGGATCCTCCTCATGACACCATTTGCTCCATCACTCAGCTCTTGGCCTCCAATCCTGCTCAGATTGCACGTCGGTATACTCGGTCTCATTAATGACGTGGTTCGACCCCAACAAGACGTTGATTGTTCCCTTGACTTGCTCCTGCTCTGGTCAGGATTATGAGGTGAACTCATCCTACACAGTCCAAAGCGGAAATTCTTATTCAAGCATCACCGACAATGCCCTTGAAGGCCTCTAAACGTGTGATGCCATAGAGAGTCTGAACAACTGATGTCGGAGAATTTGCAAGTCGGTCAAAACATTAGGGTTCCTCTCAGCTGTGCTTGTCCCACCAAGGGCCAAAACGACGCTGGTGTGAAGTACCTATTGACTCGCAGAGTCGTTAGAGGAAATGACATTCCCAATATCCTGAGCAAAACCCTACGATTTATCCATATAGCACAGTACTAGTTCCGGAGCGACAACCACCCTCAGGCCCTCAAACTTCACCACCTCTGGTGACATCGCCACCACTAATTGTTGGCTCAAAACATAATTGGGTTTAGATTCTTCTTGGGGTGATTGGCGGCCTCGCCGGTTTAGGGGCAGTGATCAAGATCACCACGGCTTTTCAGTTTTGCCATACATGGAACAACGCGTTCAACCCGAAGCCACGATCCAAGAAACACCATATTTTCAGATGGATGATTTGCACATTGGCTAAAATGGATTAGGTCATTAATCTGTTCACTCCAATCAATTGTAGATCAAA